AGCAAACATTGAAAAAGACCCAATTATGAAAACTATCAGAGATAACATCAGAGAGCAACAGAGATTATTACAAGATTAGGACAATGCTACGCCCAGCATTACAACGATTTCGCAGTACGTGAGAATTGCCTGTGGATGGACGGCCGGTTAGCAATAACGAAGGATCTATCATCAGCAATTCTGAGCCGCCTACATTACAACCATCATGGGCGGGACAAAATGTTCGCTGCCGCAAAGAACGTGTGGATTCCCCTGATGCATCGAAAAATTGCGGCCACAGCAAAATACTGCAAGAGTTGCTTAGAAGCAGGTAAAAATCTTAAACCGGACATTCCGAAAAGTGACATGGGGAAACGTATGTTCCGAAGGAACCAAATGATTTGGTCCAATTAGATTTCTGAGGTCCAGTAAATTATGTAAGGGGTCGGAAAAAGTATGTACTTGTAGCAGTAGATACCTTCTCGCATTGACCGTCGGCATATGTTTGTTCAAGCAATAAATCAAAAAATGTATTGAAGTTCCTGAGGAAGTACATATATACTCATGGACACCCAAGGAAATTGCACATGGATCAAGCCACGGGGTTTTTCTCTAATGAAGTTTAAAATTTCTGTAACTACGAAGGCATCGAACTTAATAAATCTCCGGTTAAAGATCATCGCGCGACAGGAATGGTTGAACGGACTATTGGGTCGATAAAAAAATACGTGTTGACTTATCTTCAGGAAAGTTTGGAGCAATGATATCACGAGCACATTTTAAAACTAAATTAACGCCGTTCGAAGCATACCATGGCCGAGAAGCGAATACGGCACTGCGAAATTTAACGAAAAAGCCGTCATTGAAAAACTTGAATTGGAACAATGCTGTTAACCAAAAGTTATCTTGTTTAGACAGAGCGGAAAACCTCCCGGAAGTTGAACTCACCCTAGATTGGGAGAAAAGAAGTGATTTAGTGTACGCCCCTTAAAATAGGAAAGATCCAATCATTTTGGATGATGATGTGGTAGCGGATCCCAAGGCTCCGGAAGTTGTTGACCCCAAGGAACTAAGTCCACCCAAAACTCCAACATGGCTCAAAAAGCACAAAACAAGTTCCACGACCGTATATCAGAGGACCGGGAAGACGGATCCAAAGGACCCAAGAAGGTATAAACGTTTGCCATTAAAAATTGTGAAATTGACTAAGCATACGGTGCAAATGGAAAAAGGGTCGTTACTAAGGCGGAGTGGTGTGTCTTTTAGATCGGCGGCTGAAGAAAGCCTAATTGAGAGTAGAAGCGAGTTTATGTAAGTGCGAGTTTATGTAAGTGCTATCAATCCTTCTTTCTGTCTGGAGACCTGCTGTCCTGACATTGCCATCTCTAATGTCCGATGGGATCTGAAATAAAAGAGTGCAGTAAGATTTCGATTTGATGCCTAACAGTTTGTCTACAATACAACTTATTAACAACCTTTTTGATTTTCTACACTTACGACTTTAACAGCTCTGAAGAACTTTCGGTAGCTGAAAGAAAAAGTTTTTTTTTGGTTTTATTTTAACAAAAACCGGCAGTGGTTCAATATTTTAAAGCGGTATTAATTAATAGCTTTGACAGGATTCAACTTTTGACATCAGTTGTGAGTCGCCACAATGACATGTCATCCCTTAACCCAATTTCTAGTTCGAACTAATCGTTCTTTTTTTGTAGTCTAACTTTTCTATCCAAATTACTGTCCAAACTTCCTTTTTCTGTTTGAAGTATAAATTTTTAATTCATTTGAAGTTGAATTTTTTTGGTTCAATGATAGCAGTTTGAATAATTTGCATACCGGAAAACAAAGTTTCAAGTCATTTCGACAAAAAGGGTTAATCAGTTTGAATAATTGCATAGGAATTTAAAGTTGTTTTAAGAAGTTATGGAAATGAAAACTTTCGTTACGGTTAATCTGTTCAGTATAAATACTAACTGTTTAGAAACTAGTTTCTCTAATGACTGGTTTGGCACAAACTTAGTTTTTCATCTTCAGTTTTTATGGAAATGGAAGCCACTGGAAAAATAAAGAGACCATCGCCATCAGCAGCTGAACTGCCGTCAATTTCATGAGTCCAAATTGCCATCAATTCTCACGCTGAGCGAGTTGGTGCTGGAGCCCCAGTCTACCTTGCTGCTGTGCTCGAGTACTTGACTGCTGAGATCCTTGAGCTGGCTGGAACGCTGCTAAAGCCAACAAGAAGTCCAGGATCATCCCTAGACACTTGCAGTTGGCCATCAGGAACGACGATGAGCTGAACAAGCTGCTCCATGGAGTGACCATTGCTCAGGGTGGTGTGCTGCCGAACATCCAGGCTGTGCTCCTGCCCAAGAAGCAGTCTTCATCTCAGCCTAAGTCTGACAAGAAGTAAAGAGCTTCTACCTCTGCCAGTTGCTAGCTCTCAAGCTTCAACAAAAAACCGGCCTTTTTAAAGGCCACCAGATTTGAAGTTCTATCTTTTTATCCTGCCTAGCAGGCATAGCTAAGGTACTCAGAGCAAGCTAAGGTGGCCTAACAACACTAGCTAGCCTCGAGCTCGACTGGCAGTCCAAAATTCAAGCTTAATTAAGCTTTCAGCTGAGAGCCAATCAGAATTGAGTATTCTTCGAGCTCGATTTGAACACAATTTTTCAAGTTAGGTTGGCTTTTTTCTCAATCCACAACTCAACACCACTACAACTACATCTCTACAATGGCACCCAAAGTCAGCGGAAAGGCAGTCAAGAAGGCAGGCAAAGCCCAGAAGAAGCCCACTGGAGACAAGAAAAAGAAGAAGAAGAGGCGAGAGACCTACTCTCTCTACATCTACAAGGTGCTAAAGCAGGTCCACTCTGACACCGGCATCTCCTCCAAGGCTATGTCGATCATGAACAGCTTCGTGAACGACATCTTTGAGAGAATCGCCGGTGAAGATTCAAAACTGGCCCACTACAACAAGCAATCAACCATCTCTAGCCGGGAGATCCAAACCGCAGTCAGACCGCTGTTGCCCGGAGAGCTGGCCAAGCATGCTGTCAGTGAGGGAACCAAGGCCGTCACCAAGTACACCAGCTCCAAGTAGACGACCAGCTTCTACAACTAGTTGCTCTGAGCAACACCAAACCGGGCTTTTTAAAGGCCACCAAAAAGCATAGTTCTCTTTGTACTCTAGCTAGCAAGCTCAATTTGGCTTGTATGCAATTTCGAGCTCTTAAAAGCTAGCTTTGAGCATCTAATTTAAGCTACTAAGCTCAACTGAGCTTGTAACTTGCTTAAAATAGCTCCAGACCAACTTTAGAGCTAAAAGACAGCAAAATTTTAAGCTTTCACGTCTCAGCCAATCAGATTTGAGCTTCCTTGTGCTCTGTAACTTACAGCTCGAAATAGCTAAGTTTGATCTTCCAAAATTAACTAACGAACCCAATTCAGCTAGGATAAGCTCAATTGAGTTTGTAGCTGGCTGACATTAGCTTTGGGTCAATTCTAGAGGCAGAAACACCAAATTTTCAACTTTTCACTTCTCAGCCAATCAGATTCGAGCTTAGTTTGAGCTTCCGCTAACACTCAGACACGGGCCAATCACCTATGCCGCTTTTGGCGGGTAACCTCCAACCCAAGTATAAATAGTCGGCACTTCACATACTTTACTATATATAGTTGAAATTGCTCCTTAATATATATAAGTAACGACTCACCAGAGCTCTCCTTCTATTGCTCTTTTGCGTGCCTAACTTTTTTTGTACGTCGAGCGCTCTCAAGGCTTCTGGAGATCTGAATCTCTTGGTTACCTCACGAATTTGTCCAAAATTCAACACCCAAAACCTACTTCTACATCTACAACTCAGCTACACTCAACTGACGAAGAATGGCCCGAACGAAGCAGACCGCACGAAAGAGTACTGGAGGAAAGGCACCCAGGAAGCAACTGGCTACCAAGGCTGCAAGAAAAAGCGCACCTTCCATCGGCGGTGTGAAGAAGCCTCACCGATACAGACCAGGAACCGTTGCGCTGAGGGAGATCAGGAGATACCAGAAGTCCACTGAGCTGTTGATCCGAAAGCTGCCCTTCCAGCGACTGGTCAGAGAAATTGCCCAGGACTTCAAGACAGACTTGCGGTTCCAGAGCACTGCCATCATGGTTCTGCAGGAAGCCAGCGAGAGCTACTTGGTCAGCCTGTTCGAGGACACCAACTTGTGCGCGATCCACGCCAAGAGAGTCACGATCATGCCCAAGGACATCCAGTTGGCTCGACGAATCCGAGGAGAGCGAGCTTAAGCTCAGGGTGTACTCCACACCAACCAAACCGGCCTTTTTAAAGGCCACCCAACCATCAGTTCTATTTTTCTTCACAGTGAGCTTCGCTCAAGCTGACTTCGAGCAGAGCAAGCTCAAGCTGGTATAGGTTGAGCTCTGCTTCCCCCGTATTGGGGTGACGCAGCTGGAAATTGAGCTCGAGCTAGCTGTTCAATTGCTCCCGTACGTAGCCTAACTTTTTTGAGCTTCGAGCTCTCAGAGCTCGGCAAGCTAGCTCAGAGCGCTCAGGCAAGATTGTACGAGCTTGATTTAAATCAGAGAGCTCGAATAAGCTCTGTGGGCTGACCAGTTTAAGCTGGTACACCTTGTGTGAGCTCAAAATTTTTTCAATTGCTCCTGTACGTAGCCTAATTATATTTAAGTTCGAGCTCTCAGAGCTCGGCAAGCTATCTCAGAGACCTCAAGCGAGCTTCTACGAGCTTGGTTTAAATCACATAGCTCTGATAAGCTCTGTGGACTGACCAGTTTGAGGTAGAAGGTTTTTTGGGAGATCAAAAAAAAATTTCAATTGCTCCTTTACGTGCCTAACTTCTTTTTACTACTTATTATCTGCTCTCTGATTGGCTGTTGGTATGAGGGCCAATGAGAGAGCAGAGAAGTCGGTCGAAAATTGATAGGTACCTAGCGATTTTTGCCGATCCCAAACCCAACTTCTACTTCAATTTCGACAACAACTACATCTGCAACAACCATGTCTGGGCGAGGAAAGGGAGGAAAAGGACTTGGCAAAGGAGGAGCAAAGAGGCACCGAAAGATCTTGAGAGATAACATCCAAGGCATCACCAAGCCAGCCATCAGACGTCTTGCTCGACGAGGAGGTGTCAAGCGTATCAGTGGACTGATCTACGAAGAGACCCGAGGAGTGCTCAAGAACTACTTGGAGAGCGTGATCAGGGATGCTGTAACCTACACCGAGCACGCCAAGAGGAAGACCGTTGTAGCCATGGACATCGTCTACGCCCTCAAGAGACAAGGCAAGACGTTGTACGGATTCGGAGGTTAAGAAGCTTCTTAGCCAGCTGCTCTCCTAGCTGCAGCACCAAAACGGCCTTTTTAAAGGCCACCAACTATCTCAGTTCTTAAGTCAAGCTCTGATAGAGCTCTAACAAGCTCAACTGGTTAGTCTAGAGCTTTCGACGTATCTAAACCAACTTAAAATGATAGCTCGATTCTGATTGGCTCTCCCATCTTGGTGGCTGATTTGAATTTAGTACCCTAAGACAGGGAGCCAAATTGTGGTAAAGTCAATCGTCAATCTACAGCTTCTACCACAACAACTACAACTACAACCAGATGTCAGGCAAAGGAGGAAAATCGAAGAGCGGCAAAGTTGGAGCCAAGGCCAAGACCCGATCAAGCCGAGCTGGACTGCACTTCCCAGTTGGACGAATCCACCGATTCATCCGCAAGGGCAACTAAGCAAAAGAAACCTGAGTCACTTTTTAAACGGATACGTAGCACTATTATTTGAAGAAATGTTAAACATGGAATATTTTGTGAATATTCTTATTTGAAAACGGCTGAAAATTGAAGTAATTTTGAAATTTTTGTGCTGAATTAACTTCAGTCGTGAGCAGGGGCGGATCTAGGATTTTCTCGGGGGGGGGGGGGGGAGTTTCAAAAGTATTTCGAAATTTTATCACCATTTTTTTAGGTCGATCAAGATCCAATTGATTTGCCGAGCTCTCACAAATTGCGTTGTTTAGGCGCGCGCTTCCCCCTAATTTGGAGTAGATATTGGCGCCAAAATTATTTAGGTCCGTCAGCCAAAAATGGAGTTCTTAAAATAGTACAGAGGGGGCCCTTTTGGTCGGCAGGGGGTCGAATCTCTAACGGAAAGGCGCGTCCCCGCCTCCCCCCCCCCCCGTATATCCGCTGATGGTCGTGAGATGTATTACGAAATGTGCATCTATACCACCAATCGGCAGTTGAAATTGAAATAACCCAAAACGAATTGCCAAGAATGCCGGTCGCAGCGCGGGGAAAAAAGATGAAGACGACGTGTGAGAAATGTGGACGATCTTTGATGACAAGGCAATCTCTTATTAGCCACCAGAGTTATGCTGCTTATTGTGAAAAACAACAAAAAAAACAAGACGAAGAGCAGAAAAATTTAATTTGGAAATACAAAAAAATTAATAAGTCTTTAGAAATTTGACAGATCTCATTTTTTCTAAGTTAATTATAAATTAACAGCAGTTTTAGTGAAAATATGGATCAAACGTAGCGGCAAAGTCTCCACCGTCAAATCATTTTGTTTTGCAAATTTTTCTTTGTTTAGGTTCTTACTGTTTGTTAACTTTTATAGACATTTTGTAAGAAATCAATTTCTCTGTTTTTTTGTTGGTTTTGATTGATTTTTTTCATAAATTTATAGTTTTTTCTTCAACGTAAGAAAAAATGGTTCTTGATCACCACAAAAATTGCCAATTTTTTTAAATTGTGGTCTGAACCAGGGGTGGATCCAGGACTTTCTCGAGGGGGGGGGGGGGGTTTGGTTTTTCAAAAAAAAGTTACGAAAATTTTATCCACCTTTTTTATAAAGTCGACAAAATTGATTTTCCGAGCTCTTCCACAGCACTAAAATAACCCTGTTTTGGTAAAATTTTCTGCGCCGCAGACGAAATTTTGAGAAACAGGCCAAAAAAGCGTTTTTAGTCACTTTGGAAAATTTTGACAAAGCAATCGCGACAAAGCTTAGACTCCAATAAAAAATTCAAGAAATTGACTCTGTGTTAATACAAACTGTTCTGAACGTTTCCGTTTTTCAAAATTATAAACTTAAAATAGTTGAAACATTTATTGGCCCATATTTAATGTTTTACAGCTAATTTGGTAGTCCTATATTGAAGAAAAAAACACCGAAAAGTAGTATTTTAATAAAAATCAAAACTAATTTTGACAACTATTTTATAGGTCGGCCAAATTTGATTTCGAAGCTGAACCAAAACACAAAAAAATCCTATTTGGGACATTTTTTGGAATGTTGTGAGAAAAAAGCGTGTTTTCAAAATCAGTTTTTCGTGCCGTTGAAGGCACCTCTTGAGTTTTGGAGTCAAATCCCGCTTCGGTCACGGTTGAACGGGTTCCATTGGGTAGGGCGACAATTCGTAACAGGCGACAATTCGTAACAGGCGACAATTCGTAACAGGTGTCAATTCGTAACAGGCGACAATTCGTAACAGGCGGCAATTCCTATTGGCAAGTAGTTCCATTGTCATCCGCATCCCAAGGTGGGACCGGCTGCGGCAAATTGAATGAAATCTATCCCCACGGAAAACGGGCCCACGGGTGAATGGTGAGAGTTGGCCCAGGGGCTAATAAAAAAAGGCACCTCATCAAAAAATTTTATGGCTTGTAAAAGAATCATTTCATCAATTAAATTTCAAAAAACACAAACACGTTAATTGAGAATAAGCAGTGAGAGAAATAAGAATATACAAAAAACAGTGACTAATTCATAGTGAGGATACAAAATAAAAAAACATCATCCGAAAATCTTGAGTTTTGCCAGTTCAGCTCAAATGAAATTCAGTAAAATATCTTCAGTTAAAAAATTGGCACTTATTTTATTGACACATTTCAATAAACAGCAAATCAGAGTTCAAAAACAAAACTATCTTATCAAGTTTTGGGTAGTATAACAGAAAATACCCCAATTCATAACATGTCTAGACAACAATGCATCGTCAATTCGGTAAATATCTATTTTTGTATGCAAAAAGTATCAAAGCTTACAAGTTTTCAGTTTGTTTAAACCATCTAACTAACTTGCTAACTGAGTTTTTATTACCAAAATAACACACACACAAATCTATTTCTAGACGTCGATATCTTGACTAGTTGAGTCATCTTCGGGAATCGGTGCTTCCGAGGTCAGTTGATTAGGGGTGCTCGGACTAGAATAACAACCGCTATCCTCGGAAACTTGTTTGTGATACTTGATATCCGAGTAAACATGCAAATCAACCGCAAACTGAACTGTATTCAAGCTATATGCACTTTTACTTTCACGGTGTTTTGTCGGTTTTTCTGGAATATCATTTTCAATTTTTTCATAAGTATTTTCTTCGTTTTCATCTTTTTGTGAGTCATTCACAGCTAAACTCACCCTTTTTCTTTCACCAGTTTCGTGACTCTTTCCTTCTATCGGGCCTTTAGGGTCAATTATATCTTGCTCACATTTGCTAAGTCGGTGATTCTTACTCAAAGCTCCAAGATTTATGTACATGGAGGAAGGTCTTAGTAACTGGGACTCGCTTTTCGGCTTTGCTTTCGACCACTCCATCGCGCTTTCCAAGTTCACATATCGCGAATTACGTTTCGATTCCGTTGTAGGTTCGTCCGGCTGCGAATCATTGGCGCGTACCATTGGGGAATCGTAAAGTGGATTCGTGAACGACTGGTTTGCAAGTCGTGGCATGTGCATAGGCATGTTCAAATTTTGGATTCGTCGATTTAAGTGACTGTCGAACGACTTGCTTCGCCCGATCGCCGAGTCCGGAGCCGAACTCTGATGACGCAATCCGAAATGATTTGGTGGGCGAACTGCTGTCATGCTAGTTTGTCGTTTCAGTTCTCGAATTCCGTTTAAAATTTCCTCGGTGGTTAATTCGCTGTCATCGGTTTCCAGTCTCGGCCGAGTCGGGTTTTCGCTAGTCTGGTGACTCGCGGGACTCCTGGATGTTGGGTTCTGCTGGAAGATTTGCTTTCGACTCGGGAATATTTCGGTGTAGTATAACAAATAAACTAGGGGTTTAATCAGGGCGCAGTTTACATACGGAAGGAGACGTAACATTATTTGCATGGATGGGGAGGGGGGATAGTTGAGAAGGTCCATGAAGATGTCAATCATGGTGCTTGAGACACTTAAGGCAAGAGAGAGCATACCGATGACTATAATTGTGTGGTAGAACTGAAACAAAAAGGAGAACTAAATTACAACAACTTAATCAAGAAAACTCAAGAAAAAATCTATTATTTAGAAAATTTTGCCCGAAACTCGCAAAAGCCGACTCAATTATTTTCACTCGTAGTACTGGTAAAATTATTCGGCTATCTTGGAAGAACTACTAGAATCTAAACTACCTTTGCATCCGCGACAGTGAACTCGTTTCTGAACCTGTGTGCTCTGAACTCAACAATAGGTAGAGTGAATCTGGCACATATGACGACCACTAGACAGGGGAGGAATTGACAGATGATCAGGTCACTCAAACTGAACGCGGCTAATTCAGTGAAGTCCAGCACAGAGTCTGAAACAGAACACAGTTTTCATTATTTGTTACGGTTAAGTGGAGATACCACCCATGTAATTTGCATCTATCTTTCAAAAATGAATCATAACGTCTATGATTCACTCATGATTAATTAAGAGAAATCATCAATGCAATTTACATCCGTGTTTGGTTCGTAGAACGTAATGCGACGACTCGCAACAACAGGCATCTCGCAATAAAAGACAACTCGCAGTATACTCATCTGGATGAACAACTTTAAACTAGTACTGTAACATAAATGTTTCAACGATGCCAAATATTGAAAATTTTCGGATACATTCCTGAATTGCAATGCAACTTCAACCCGGACTTTTCCGACTCCAAGAGGTCGAGCGGCTATTCGAGACGTTCAAAATGATCTGTGTTTCATGCTTAAGAGAGGATAAAAAACAAAAATGTCATTGTTTTATGATTTGGGGCAAGTGATTTGCCTCACAATCAAGAGTGCGGTTATTCGAGGCCTGCAATGATCAATGCTAGTGAACAATCTTACCCCTTTCTTGAAAAGTGGAATTGCTAAGCAGATCTGGTAAAACTTGCAAAGGCATGAAATATTCCCTTTTGAAACTATAGCTCTTTTAAAATTATACACCGAATTGACTCATTTCTTTCAATTTTGTAAATGTTCGAGTTGAAAAAGAAGCTAGATTTGTTTACAAATAAAAAAAGGTGGCGCCTGCATTAGTTGACAGTTGCATGCAGTTGTGATAGATAACTAATCTTTTAGATGGACTAAAAATGTTGTCCATCTGAACTCAACTCAAATCACAGGCCTGAATCGGATCAAATAAACATCTGACTTCGAATCCATCCTTAGGTTGTCCCTGGGAAGTCAAACTGAGACTCATGACTGAACAAACTAAGAAGTGGTATTTGAGAAGGGGGAGTGTAACAGTGCATATAGTGTAACAGTCTGCTGCTCTTCTGAGATAGTGAGTCATTCATTACAGTTATAGCATACAACGCTCTGCAGGATTTTTATCAAATTCAGTTTTATTATAGAGCAAAGACTGTGACTCGACGCAAGGATTCGACCCCCTGCCGACCCAAAGGATCTCCCATGTTGTACTATTTTGAGATAACCCTTTTTGGCTGACGGCACCTATTATCTTAATTAGGGCGCTTTTGGCGCCAATATTTACTATTAACTAATGTTGAGTGGGAGGCGCGCGCCGAAAAAACGCTTTTTTTTCAACAATCGATTTCCAAAAAGGTCCTAAAAAAATTTTTTGGACTGTTTTTTCAAAATTTAGCCTGGGTTGCAGAAAATTTGGCCAAAAAAGTGTCTTTATTGCTTTGGAAGAGCTCAAAAAATCAATCTGGTCGAGCTAAAAAAAGGTCGAGAAAACTTTAGACAATTTTTGAGAATCCACCTCGAGAAAATCCTAGACCCGCCCCTGACTTGACGACTTACAATTCTCATAATAAGAATAAATCTTTGTGCAAAAATTACGCAATCATGGAATTGATGTTTGATTATTTGAGAATTTTGGTCTTTCAGAAAAACTGCTTGTGAACTTTCAATAATTTCATTAATTGATTATAAAATAAACAAATAAATATTCCAGCAAAATTCATATTAAGCACCATTAGTTCGGAAGTATGGAAGTAAAGTAGACAAAATTTCTTAACATTCAAATTTTTCCTAATGGTTTTTTAATTAGTGAGGCTTTGGAATTAGTTAAAACAACTGAAATAAAATAAATGCGACGGGAAAACTTAGAGAGCAAATTCAAAATCCAAGGTCAGTACTATGTGTCAAATAGTCTAATTTCAAAAAATTAGATTAGTTTTTTCGAAACTGTGTTAAGCTTTTTGCAATGGCTCAAAAACTACAACAAAGTTGACGCCTTATGAGTTTTCTTTAAGGCACTTTAAATCGAGTGAAAAAACACCAGCCACCGTAGTACCAAAAAGAGGTATTCATTATAATTGATCATAGTTCAGACAGAGAAAAAACTTTAAATTGAATGTAATCGACAATAATCTCTTATTTTGCCGACATATTGTCACACCAAAAGTAATTTTTAATTATATCCTATATATCCTAATTATGTTTTTAACTATGGGTTGTTAATTTTTTGTCACTAAGAAAACCACCAATAAGATCAGATGTCTCGTCACACTTTGGTTCATCTGAACACAAAGTTTTACCACGAAACAAAAAATTCATAGAGACCCGTAGTAGTTGAGTTACATCATGAAACTAACACAATGTGCTGATATTTTGGTGTTTATTGAAATCAAAATGCACATCATCAAAACAATTGTAAATGAAAAGAAGTGAAAAAAAAACATTACAAACTTGAATTGATTTGAACACTGCTAAGACGTGTATCACGTTTTTCACACAAACCAACGTATATTATAATCGATTAAAATAGATTTATTGTGCATAACAAACAAATTGGAAATTAGGATAAAAATATTCGGTTATAATCAAATTTGATCGATTATAATTGTATCAAAAAATTGATGAATAAATAATCGATTGAAATGTTTTATAATTTATTATAACTTGTTTTTAAAGAGAGAGATTATAAAAATTTATTAAATAATTATATTAGATTTTTTCTCAATTTTTTCAAGCTTGGTACGAAAATCATAACATAATCAATTATTAACGCTCAAAACTGGATGCGGGATGCAATTGGAAAAACGGTAAATAGTTGAAGTTTTTTTTTTCGATTTTTTTTTCAAACTTCAAATTTTGCGAACAAAAAAATAAATCATGTATTATAAATCACAGCCCTTTGAATTTCAGGAATCAATTAATTTCGAAAATATTTTGTAAAATTAAACCAATTACAGACAACTGGATCAACAGGTAGTTTTTGAAATTCCGTTCAAAATTCTGAAGCATAAAACCCATTTTTAAAACTTATTGTTATATTTTGTTTTACACAATATCCAATTTCGTAATTGACCAATCTAATCTAAATTCCTGAAGAAAAGTAAATTTGAATTGAACTTGAAAGCAAAAATCGAAAACCACGAAAAAAATTTAAATTAAATTAAATAAATTTTAGGGTGAAAAACCTTCAATTTTTCTTTAAAAAAACAAGAAAATGTATTTAGATAGTATTTAAAATCATCCATTTTTGTTCAACAAAATCGAAAGTTGTTCAAGAAGTTTTTATGGTTTTATAAAGTAATATGGGGAGCTCAAAAAATAGTTGAGAGGAGCAAAATACCAGATCCTATCCTGGTAATAAATTAAAAAGACAGAAGCAAAGCCGGATTTCGCAAGCACAGCGAATAAAAAAAATCGCATAACAAAACAGCTAAAAAAAAATAAGTAAAAAAAAAGCTTTGCAAAAAAAATCTGCTCTCGTCATTCGAACTCACGGCCGGCAGATTTACAGATTATTATTTTCGTAACTGTGCTATAGCAGCTAAATATTGGACCAAGTTAACATCCCCCCCCACAAAAAAAATCGTTTGGGGGGAGAGGATGTTAACTTGGTTCTAAGTTACAGATTTTCAGCCAATCAGAACCGAGCATTTTACATGAAGCGCTTGGCAAATTGAATGCGAATTATTTGCTGGGGTGGAAGATCTTAACTTGGTCTTAATATTAATCAAACACAACCAACGAACAAAGCGGATAAACCGCACGCTTATAAAATACCATACAGAATCAGAATTAAAGCAGTACACATATACTAAAAATGAGCACTTTTGTTGAGCACTACTCAATGCAAGTTAGTTTGGAAAAGATTAACTGATAAAACGAGACTGCTCGTATCAGGGCGAGGCCCTGAATGTTCAGACTGCCTTTTAAAGTCTATGGAGCAGTAATATCATGAAAAATTCAAAGTAAAAAAAAATATTTTTTTAATTTGACATTTGACAAAAACCCACCACGAGCACAAATATTCCGTTAATTTCGTTAAGAAAGTCGGAACAATAACACAAGTAATTGCTTGTGTAATTAACTTGGGGCCAATATTAAAATCACTTCACGAACTCAATAAAAACAGTTTTAGTGCTGTATTATGAAGACACGGTTAAAGCGGTAAATTAGTCTGATTAAAAGCGGTGAATTATGACCGATAAAGCTACTGGGAAAAACTGAATGAGTAAAAATTTGAGTCTACAAAATTTCATAAATGACGCACGCCAATTATGAGTCTACATAATTGCTAAGTGACGCAAGCCAATTATGACGCAGTAGCAGTTCCATCGCTACAGATCCGAGACACATTGAAGCTAAAGTGCTATTTGTAAAATAATAGTCTGTATTAATATCCTGAGCATTGGTTGTACTTAATAGCTGTTTAATGATCAAAATGAGCACTTTAAAAATTAACACACTTTGACGCAACAATATTTGCGTCACAACAATATTTGCGACTTACGTTGGAAAAAAGAGAGTTTAGCTTGTGTAAAAACTCCGACCAGTTCACATTATCAATTCAGGATTCATTAGCGCCTTGTTTTTTTATACTTTTTAAGTAATCAAGATGCACCGTCATCACCATTTTAGTTGCAATTTTTTAGGCGAAGATGGCGCAACTTTTAAAAGAAATCGAATCGATTAGAAAAAAAAGTTAGCTCACTTGAAAGTGTGCACTGCGCGAAAGGAGTGTTGTCTCTCAAAACACAATCAGTGTGTGACGTCACAGACATAGCAGCCGCCATCCTGCCCAGCGAGAGAAAGAACAAACACATAGTCACACCGCACACACTGCCCCCACCCACAACTGATGATGAGGTGGAGGAGGGGGAGAGATGGTCGGGGGAGGGCGGAAGGAGTCCGCCCCCGCCTAAGATTCGGTCCACTTTGTGTTTACCCGTAGCGCTGGCCCATCTGAAAAAAAATATGATTTTTAAAAATTTTGTTCTAGAAAAATAACTTCGGTCTCTTGTGATTCAAAACAATTGGAACCACGAGAAGGCCACCCGGACCTAAACTCACTGTGCTAAAGGCATTGCTTTAGCTTGGATTTTACAAATCTTGTTTAAATTGAATTTATATATTCAACAAAAAAGTGCTGCACTGCAAGGAAAAAGTTTCCTGAATTTACTGTCGAATTTACTGATTGATGATCCTTTATTAATATAATTCGCAAAAGATGACCTTTTATTTTTAGAAAACTTGTAACAACTGAAGGTTTTTTTCATCGCATCAGAATACTCGTCATATAAACCAAACTTTGAAAAATTAAGATCTGAGCTGAATAGGTGACTCACTGTTGTACGAACAACACCATCAGTGCCACGTTTGAAAACGCATTAGCTCCAATCAGAGCCCCCCTCACAGAATAGCAAGCGAACTCCCCCATCTTCCAATTGTCATACGAGTCAGATTGGGTCAGCATGTCTACTGAGTAGTGCAGTGAGAGGTAGACGAGGTCGCCAAGAGATACGAGAGCTAGGAGGCAGTTTCGCGAGTGGTGTCTTTGGACTATCCCTCCGAGAACAATCACCAGGTTGGCTGAACAAGCAGAAATCAAAGATAAAATTAGTCACAAGTCACAAGGAGCTATGAAGATGGAAAACCTATGATTTCATGTCTCTTTGTAGTAATATAATAAATTGTTTCAGGTGCGGATTTAGGATTTTCTCAAGAGGGGAGGCGCGTTTTTCAAAAAATATCGGATATTTCAGTCGTATTTTACGACTGAAATATCGGATATTTCAGTCGTAAAAAATATCGGGTATTTCAGTCGTAATTTTAGCTTAAGTTTTTCGAATATTTCATAATAAGATTAAAAAAATATTTGCAAATTGGATTCCATCCATAGTAAAATCAAGAAATTTTTAATGAGAGAAATCACATTGAGAAAAAGTCTAGATCTTTTGTCATTATGACTCCACTTCTCGCCACAAGTCTGCCAATTAAAGAATTGTTCCCCCAAAGCAGTGAATTTGTAATTTGGGGCTCTTAAATTGGCTGAGGGGCGCTAATGGTAGCGAACTTATCGTATCCAAAGTGTGGCGCTTAAGGGAGAAACAGACATAGAATATGGGTCCCACGTTTTGCGATAGAAAATCAATGTGAACAAATAGAGATCCTTTTCCAAAAAATTTTAATCGATAAAATTGTAAACCAGTGCACACTTTCAAGTGAGCTTATAGATACCCCGTTATTTTTAAGACCATTCACCCAGGTAGAAAAATATATCTACGAGCGAATTGTTTACATCTTACTGGATAACCGCCGTTGGACCCTTGATAAGAACTTCAGGCATTTTTTATAAATAACATTTTTACGCTATTTTGTTCAAACTTACCACAAATTCCCCACAAGGCCAAAACCGAAAACCCGACCGACTTCGAAATCGCCACTTTTTCCGAGAACCCTTCGGGTTTACTATACACACAAATCGTGTAATTTGTGAACCTCTCGTGTCGAAGTTCCCCTCGCACATTCTCGCAAAGAGGGAGGAGGGGGTTCGAATCCCCGGGACAAGCCGCCGGAACCTTTTCCGCAGCATCATACGGGCTCAGTTGCCGACTGTCGGGAGATTTTGTCGTTTCGATTTCTTCGTCGTGGATTATGAAGTCATTCAAGTCAATTGTGAATGTTCCCCCCGAATCCAAATTCGGTAACTGAGATTTTTCGATTGGCTTAAATCGTAGCGTGTCTTTACCGTTGCAATTGACAATGAGAAAAAGAAAAGTAACACGGTAAAAGGAAAGGGCGGTAACAATTGTCTTCGAAGTCATAATTTTGCAAATTTCAAAAATATATCAATTCAAAAAAGGTTTACAAATTGTAAATAAGAAAAAAAATAGAACAAATAAGAATGAAATTAAAATAATTTGGGTTGTGATGATAGTTTTTATGTGATTTACAGTTTTAATGAGCCATTTTTGGATAAAAATTTACGAGAAAAAAATTACAACGAATACGAATTTTGGAGATGGTAATTAATCTTCATTTGGGAATTGCGTAATTTATCTGAAAAAGTCCAATTTTATTTACAAAATTAGGTAAACCGAACACAATGACAAAAAAGGTAACACCGCTGGACCGCAAAAAAAAGTAAATTGTTGCGGGTTAAAAGGAATTGACTGTAAAAAATGGGGGTTTTAATCCTTAATGGTTGCAAGCAGGGCTATGAAAGGGTAAAGATGTTCAATCCAGTAACGTAAGATCAAAGGTATTGAAAATGTTTTTATCCTCAAAGTTAAGATTTTTTGTTTGAAGAAACAAAAAAAGATAGTCGATGACACACGAAAATAAAAAGGACGACTTTTACTTATGAAATAATCACAGATGATGACGAGGAAAAAGATCACACGCTTGTTTAAAGGTAAAATTCAAAGAAAATGAAGTTGAATATAGTTAATAAAGTTCATTAGCGATTGGAATGAGTCATCGACCACTCACGACCATCGTCGAAAGATGAAAACCAAAATTATACTACTTGGGGTTGGGGTCGAGACAATAGAACTGGGGTTGAGACAATTCAAAATATCTGGATAAAAGAATATGGAAAGCTTCAATTCCTTTATTATCCAGCAAATTGGCCAAAGTTCTCTACTGGATAACAAAACAAACTGGCCGTGTAAGGAAATTAAGCGCAAAATTGAAGTTTTTTGAGCTTCAGGGAACAAGAAACAAAAGCAGTCTGAAAAAGAAGCAAATAAGGCACAAATAAAGGCGAATTTGCTGTTTTTTGCAACCCTTTGAATTTTTGTGCTGCCTGCGCTGCGCGCTTGCTTTCTGTAAGTAAACCAAAAGTAATTGGGTATTTTCTTACTTTTATTACATTCTGTCAATTTGGCCCCGTTTCAATAAAATAAACAGGATTTGAGGTTAATTGCATTTCAGGTAAATAAACAATTTGTCAAATGTCGCGAAATACTAACTGTCTTACTAAGTAATCAGGTTTTAAAACGAATCGGTTTTAAAGCGAAAAGTAAACGGATAAACGAAAATTGGCGGGTCGAACAATTTTTTTTTCAAAAACTATGATTGATCTCGTTAAATGTCAACTGTATCACTGAATGTACAAACGCGGGTCCAATACAACTGAAGCAAGATCAAAAGATTGACGATTTAATTACAAACATTGTTAATTTTTAATCAAATAATTAATCACCTGACTTAATACAACGTTGCACAAACACGAACCACAGACTAAATTATAAATTAGCTTCAAGAAAGTTTGGACAATTTGTAAAGTTTTGTGAGTTTTTTGATATGAAGATTAAGGGTAAAGGCATAAACAATATATGAATATGAGTAATAGAATAAGGAAAATTATCGTCAATTTTTTTCGGGATTTTAGTGCGTAGGAGGTGGGGTAGATATTTTTAGCACTGAAAATGGAACACGTAAGGGGCGGGGTAATTCAACGCGTGAAGTAATTTCAGGGAATGGGGTACACTACAACACTGCAGACGGGTATTGCAGCAATTAGTCAGCCTCCCGCCTCGCCTCAGCAAATGAGAATGGAGGGAAAATGAAATAGAACGGAAAAAGTAAGGAAATAAATGGGAAAATATTCAAATATTATACAGGTAAATAAATACTAAGTGAACGAATTGGGCAATTTTCAGACTGCATTCTGTTCAATTTTTTTTTCGTGCAGTTTTTTCAGCAGGAAAATTACACAAAAGTGAAAAGTGAGAAATTGAATTGAAAATGTTCGTTCAATTACGTATTTCGGAAATCGCTATCGGTCGCGGCGCTGATTTAACTCTTTACTTTCGTATTTGACTCAAAATCATCAAATAGACTTGAGAAGAACGAGGAAAGACGATAGACTGCAAATATACTGAATATTGTGAATAGAATAGCTCATGTGTTTATGTGAGTTTGGTTTCTCAGCTGAAGATTTTAGTAAATAAATAGGAGTACAAATCAGAGTAATTTCAGCGAGTAAAATTGGAAGGAATAATTTGAAATGAAATGAAATGAATCAGTGTTCTAAAAGCCCGAGCGATGCTGATGCGGAAATAAAAATTATTTGATGAAAATGTGCTATGCGCGATTCTAACGTTTGCGTCGACTGATAAAGAAATTCACTTAGGCTGAACACCTTGGCTGAGAATTCTGCTACTAAAATGGGGAAAATTATGCAGCTCATTTTCGTTCAATTCCGTTTTCTCTCATTTTCGCCAGTTTTTTTTTTCAATTTTCTGTCTAGCATAATGTTTTTAGCAAGTGGAAAATAGCGCAATAATCGGTAGAGTTTTTCTGCATAGTTTTTAAAATATAGAGACGAGACGAAAAAAAAAAGATTGATTGAAACGTCTGTTTGGCGTCAATATGTTCACCGTCTGCACAAATAACTTTTCTAATAATACTTTTGAGGTAGTGAAACAGTGAAAAGTAATTCGCTTACAAATGTAGTCATTTATGTTGCATTACATCTGCTATTGAAAAAATGCTTGAAAACCTGAAAAACATATGCTCGATGAAGTGCCTGGATATTTTTCGCAAGGACTGTTACATGAGATATAGCAAGAAATAAAAAACAGATGAGTCACAAAATTTTTTGATGAGTCACTCAGTTAAAATTAAACATTTTCGATTTTCGAAAAAGAGACGTATTTTGTTCAAAAAAAACGACAAAATATTTGTGCCCGTTTCGGTTTTTTAGACAATTTTTATAACTAACAATTGATAACTAACAGCTTTTCGTGCTTTTTATACCATGTTAAAGATACTGAAGCCCTTGGGCTCAAAATGAAAATAAAATCCACAAAAACAAACAAAAAAAACAAATAAAAAACATTTATTATGCTAATAGACGCAAAAAAGAACATTTTCTTATTAAGATTGCGTGTCAGAGCTTTCAGTGCTTCTCTTGATACAAGAAGTTTTCATGTTCCGACTTTCCAAGAAGTTGACGGAATAATTGTGCACGGTGAGCTTTATTCTTCAAGCAAAATTTGACTTTTCAATTTGCATTTTTGCTGAAAACTTTAATATATCCAAAAACCGGTTTGAGTTTTACAAGTATTAGTCTGTTTTCAAGCGAGTAAAGCAATGGAGTAACTTTGATAACTAACAGCTTTTCGTGCTTTTTATACCATGTTAAAGATACTGAAGCCCTTGGGCTCAAAATGAAAATAAAATCCACAAAAAGATTGCGACTATCTATTTACGGACAAAAAAACCAATCGGAAAAACCAGTTACTAATCAAAAAATCTATTTACTATCTTTTTACGGACAAAAAAACCAATCGGAAAAACCAGTTACTAATCAAAAAATTAGAGTGGTAGTTTTTAGCTCGAAACCTAATTTTACTAAAAAGAAGAGTAAATTTGTTTTGGAAGCTTCATTTGGCGCGTTTCGTTGACAAAAAAAGTTCAAAAAAATCGAAAAATGCTATTCTTTTTTTAAAGACAACTTTTGCCCATTACTTTGAAATCACTAAAATAAACGCATTTGTATAACCTTTTTATCGACTTTTACGCACAAAATGACACTCACAACGCACAAATTTTACGCACAAAATTGAAAAAAAAAATTAGCTGCTTCTACAGCAACCGGCTATCCTTAATCCATTTAGAATTGATGCAAGGTTAAATAATGGACGTTTTTTTCATCTAATAAAACTCAATTTGCAAAAATCTGCATCGGGAGAGAATCTATCGAAACAAAAAATAAAAATTTTAGAAAACCTGAAAAAAATGAGTTAAATAATTTTGTTTTTGATCATTTTTGTTTTTTAATTTTTTTTTTTTCAATCTAAGGCTCTGGAAAGTATAAAATGGCGTTTATAACGTTGAGTACTATGCTATTTACTATAATTTTTGGAACGGTTTATGGGTAGAATAAATAGTCGCTTACGCGTTATTAGCACGAATTGTCTCGCGCATTTATTGTCCCAATAAAGCCAAATTGCCACTTTTCACACTCTCTTAAATTATCGAAAAAAGATGACAGGTAAGCTAACTTTTTATTTTAGGCATAAGTCAGCACTACCTTTAAGATTGTTTAAAAAATTTTTGTTCAAAACTAGTTAGTTAAAAAGCCGAAGTTCGTCTGGAGACAAAAAACCAGCGCTATCACAAGTTTCGCCAGTTTCATCGAAAGTCAGGGTAACAACATTTATTTAAATAAATAAAATTAATTTTCTACCGTTTCATAAAATTTTAATTTTGCTTCAAAATTTAAATGCCAATATAAGCAGTTCTGATAGTTTTTTTAACGCAAGCACTACTTGTAAAAAGACATTTTAACCAAAATTATAAAGCGGATTGGACAAATTTTTTCATGACTTCCTAAAAATTAAAGTACGATGCCTTTTACGGAGACCCACAGTAACCCTTGAACAGTTTCTACAATAAAATGAAATTAAAAATAAATTATTTTTTTTGAAAGCGCAATATGCAAACATTTATTGTCTCTATCAGAAAAATGGACATCTACACATATTTTCATTTTTTCTTTAAAGATTGCGACTATCTATTTACGGACAAAAAAACCAATCGGAAACACCAGTTACTAATCAAAAAATTAGAGTGGTAGTTTTTAGCTCGAAACTTTTTTTTGCTAAGAAAACTTACAAGTTTATTTTACAAAAAACTATTAAGTACAGCTACAAGCATTTCGTATGAAAATTTATGATCTTTGAGGCTGAAAAAGTGCACTAAATTAGAAACATTTAGCCGAAAAAAGTAAACGGAGAAAAACGTTTGTTAAGTTTTGCGTATTTTGTTTTAGAAAATCCACAAAAAAAATCAATATAAGCTTTTCCCTCGGCTACAGAAAAGAATGATTGGCGGCTGGAATTATGAATTATTAATTTACCAACTTTTTCTCAGTATTTTATAGGCATACACTTTGAAGAAAGATTTATAAATATGTAGGTTTTTGATCAATCTCATAGTTTACAACCCTTCCACTCTCCTCCCCACTATTGGCACCCCTTACCATCATCGAAGTTTGTGTCCCCTCTTCACATCCCCCCACAATTTTATTGGAAAAATTTGAACTTCTTTACTTAAGGATTAAGTTTTTACCAAAATAAGACTGAAATATGTATTAAAAAAAAATGGAGTTCAACTGAAAATTTTTAAAATTTCAACAAAATGTACTTTTGGAATATGGCAATTTGTCCGAATGAGATCAGAAACGGTTCAATTTTTGGTAAATTTTAAAGACGCTTGCTCGAAAGAAGCAAAAACTTATCCCCAAAAAAAATTTGGTATTAAATTTAAAAGGAAAAAGGTTTAAAAAGAACTGTTATCTTGGTAACTATTTCTACCCCTATCTGTGTGATTTTGTTATTTAGTCCCCCCAAGCATGCATTAGTTTTGACGGCCGTTTTGAGGAAAATATGCATTCAAAAAACGCCATCAAGTAATTCTGCTTAAGAAACTTTGTTGGTATGTGTTTTAACTACAAATTTGATGAGTCAAACGTAAAGGTTTTAATTAATTTTCTTCTCTGAAAAGTGTTTCTAACTGCTCAAAATCTTGAAATCAAACTAAATTTTGTGAAAAATGAAATAAGAGCGGACACAGATACCAAGATCCAAAACAGTCAATAAAAATTTTCACCTCATGGAATTTTATATGAAATCTTGAGTTCTTGTCAACGTTTGATAAACTCCTCTAATACTTGACTGACGCATTAGTAAAAAATTTGCCATTTTCTCGTCAAATACTTAGCTGTTAAATTTGCCTTTTTTGAGAAAAATCGATTTTTTACTTGGTACCATAAAGAGAATGATTGAAATTACGGACACTTTTACAAAAGGTTCTCCGAAGAATTACTACTAGTGCTAGGACAAATTCCTTTTTCTCTTAGATGAAACAATAAATTTAAGCTGACTCAGGAAAGCATTTCAGCTGAAGATCAAATGTCTCATCATCTTCTCATTTTGGCTTGAAGTCTCGCGTGGGGTGGAGATATACTATTAATACTTGTACCTCATATATGGAATAGGGCGGAGTATTTTTAAATAAAATACACAACCCATATAAAGTGAACATGACTACATGACTCACATAGGGAATAAAAGTTAATTTTTATTTACCTGTGAGACTTAAAAGCGATTAATTTTCTTTAAATGTGCTTGGGAGGTATGGCTAAAATGAGTGGACTGAACCATGAAATGTACATTTAAAAAAGTCAATGAACTTTTCTTCATCAATCATTTTTTTTCAAATTTCGATATAGAAAATTGCTTCGCTTTCACTAATCACTTCTCTAAAAAAAAACTGGTTTTCGCAACAAAAATAGAACGACAAAATTACAATCTGCATATTTTGACCACTTGGCAAAGTTGGGCGAATAAATTAGAAACTTACCTTGCCTGCTCAGTAAATCTCAAAATCCACTAAATCGTACGTCAAAGTTAAATTCACTATTTAACTTCAGAAAGAAAAGCAGTAAATAATTTCGATCTGTTCAGCTGCAGCCCACAAGTTTAGATTGATCTATAAACAAAATGACTCCTAGATTATGCAATGCCTAGTTTTCAGTTGGGTAACCTGGAATGTTACCAATAGTGGTTTGGTAACCACTGGCTGATAGATTTGCTTTGATTGCCAAACCTTCCAAAATTTCGTAACTTTTCAAATGTTGCAAAAGCATATCAATTAAAAAGTTTCAAAATCAATTTAAAATCATATTTTACTTTTTTTTAAAAAAATTGGAACAAAATATCAAAGAGCATTCTAAAAATATTCAAATTATCATCTAATAAGCTCATTTTTTGCCCGTTTTTATTTCAGGGGGATCAATGTTCTAATATTTCTGTTTTCTGACCCTTCGGCTAATGTCAGATTTATCACCTGACATATCTAGGCCCCGAGACAATCTAAGACTTTATGTCTGAAAACCGCAGATAATTCCACGTGAGCGGAACTTAGGGAAATATATTGGGAAAAATTTGCCCAGAATCCCCCAAAATTGTCAGTTAGCAAGGGTACCAACAAAAGGGGTGACCACCCGTCATGAATGATTGAAGAAAATATCAAAGTTAATCGGAATGCCACAAATAAGTTTCTTTTTGTTTTCTGAAACGCTGGTTCAACTTTCTACACCAATATAACCAAAATAACTGAGCCTTTAAATCTGAATTATTGCACGCTCCCACTGTGAATTAGAAACAGCTTTTTGATACAAATTCTTAAAATCTAAGATTTTAGTTCAACTTATTTGACCGAAACTGTGTTTTATTTTCACTTCGATGGTCTAATTTTTGAACCATAAGTCGGCACTTAGAATTCGGTGTGAATTTTAACAAGGTTCGAAGTTCTAGACATAAGGTTAATGTTTATTCGGCCTAACTAGGGAGCGTTTGAACAAATATTGTTTCGAAGCTTAATGGGACGCTTTTCCTCAGGCTAATTGTCATTCCTGTTTCTCAAAATATTTGTGGTGTGGACGGCGTTTGTTTTCAGTGGAACCACAAATAAATAGTTTGTCAAATAGGATTTCATTGCTCAGTTCTAGAACAATACCCATCAATTTGTCAGACGCATTATTTTGAATTTGCATGTCAGAAATAATGAAAAGTTTGCTAAAAACTGTCAAAATTACAAAAATCTGATTAAAAAATCGAAGTTTTTGTATTTTCTCAAATATTATAATTTTTTGTTCTGTATTTTGAGATTAAAACGAGTAATATATATATATATATAGGGTTGGGGGTCTGTCTCACTTGGTCTCAATGGCGTATGATCTAAATTTAAATTATTGTAAGTATTAAGCGTGAAACAATTTATCAAGGTTATTAGATTTTTGGAGGCAGTCGGAGCAGCAACAGCAGTCAAAAAGTAATTTAAAAAAACACAGAAGGCGTCACTGAAACTTCAACTCTTTAGACAGATTTTTTCCTTCACTACAGCCTCATTTTCGGACTGAGTATTGATCTGACTAACATCAAAAGTATCAATGACAAAAACAGGAAAAATATCCATCCCTTTGTAATGAAGATACCTCATTGCAATTTCAAATCCCCTTGGGCGAAATGGGCGAAAAATGGATTGGATGACTCGCGGTTAACACTAGACGGCGTGAAAAACGAGTCATCTGTCAATCAAAACTGTCACTTTTCAATCATCCATCCATCTCAAATATTGACAGCACTTTTAGTTATTGCATAGTCTGCATGTGATAACACGTTGATATGCGGGGTTGTTTTTAGATATAACTCTTTGGGGTGGGGAAAAGCAAAGGAAGGTAATGGGAAATAAAGGCCCACCTAAGGAATGAAAGAATCCTTTATCTGCATTCCATTTATGGAAATATGACTAACACTTTTCATCTACAGGGAAATTACGCAATTTTGATGAAATGTGCGTCTGAAATCTAATCTGCTGAGAACTCATTCATAAAAAATATCCCTGCGACAACCTTGATTAAAAAAGTTCATTGACTCCGAACTAATCGAAGGGTACATTTTTAAGAGGCAACAAATATTTTAAAATTATAATACATTTTGATTTATTGAAAGCTGAATGAAAAACCATGCAATAAAATTACAATTGAATCATTCAGCAAAAAAAACTTTGACAAGCCAATAAACCAGGAGCGGATCTAAGATTTTCTCGAGGAGAGGTGGGCGGATTTTCAATAATTTTGTCGACTTTTTTGTTAGGTCGACCACATTGATTTTGCGATCACTCCCATAACACCATAAAGACAAGCAGGGGCGGATCTAGGATTTTCTCGAGGGGGGGGGCGGATTTTCAAAAAAAATTTTCGAAAAAATTTTGACGACCTTTTTTTTAGGTCGACTAAATTGATTTTCCGAGCTCTCCTAAAGCACTGTTTTGCCCCTATTTTGGCCAAATTTTGTGCGCCGCAGGCAAACTATAAAAAACACAGGTATATATTGGCGCCAAAGGCGCCTTTAGAAAAATTTTAGGGTCGGTCGGCCAAAATTGGGTTTCTTAAAAAGTACCAAAGGGGGGACCCTTTGGGTCGGCAGGGGGTCGAATCCCTGAGAGAGAAAAGAAGCGTCCGCCCCCGCCCCCACCCCTGAAGACAAGGGCGGATCTAGAATTTTCTTAAGGGGAAATCGTTTTGGATCAAGTTTTTTTTAGCTGGATTTTAAAATCATTTTAAATTCAAACCAACTTTAATTTTTTTTTATTTCATCCTTGTATTTTTTTTTGCTAAAGTCGAAGATCTCAATTGAATCTACATGCTTTTTTCATACTCTCGGTACGGCACTCTAGTTCGATATTTGAATGAAATAGATTTTGAAAGTTTCTGCTAAGTCAGTTAGTGTCAAAAACAATAACAACAGAAAGAATAGGTTGTTTTGGAATCTTCTACGGTACTTCTTGTCATGCCAAAACCAACTTGACTTGACTGGATAATGAAAATTGGTTTACTAACGCTCTAAGCTAGAACTTTTCCTATCGTCAAACCGCGCGCAAAAAATGGCCCAAGTGAAAACGAAAAGTAGAATTTTTGAGGAAAAATGGAGTAGGATTTTTCTGTTCCACTTGCTCAGCAACCGGCTATTTTGTTATTATGCAACTAGTTTGCATCCAAAGTTGATTTTTGTTTTCAAAATCTATCATTTTTGGACATCTATCTCTATTTTTGAAAAACTCAATCTGCTAACCATCCACAAGACTGCTCGCATATCAGTTCAAAGACATTCCGACTGCACTTGAGGCAATGTAAAATACTAATGGTGTGTTTAACGTCTTGTATTGTGCTAAAAGTGTTCAGTCAATTATCTATTTGGTTCATTTTTTCAACGTTTTGTTTCGTTTAGGTCCACGTTTTACATTACTAGCAGAGTCTGCACATAGCTAGCCAATTTCTCTTCATTGTAGAACATTCGTAAATATTTCTCTAGGGTAAGAAATCATGGTCTGAGCCAAAACTCCCCCACTTGCTCCTTGTGCCTCGGAAGCACACACTGGAAGCACGGAGCACGGCAAAAGACAGCCGGCACTTCACCCAGTTCATAGTTTTACTATAGGGTTTCTCCCACTTGGTAGATAATGCTTCTCCTAATCTCCGAAGGAAACTTGCAAATTTTGGAGCAAGCATCCCATCAACAGGCACGACAAGAGGAGTGAAAGACATATGTCTTTCCTGACACGCGTCTGAATATTTTGTCTTTTTCTCAGTCTCTGCTGAGTGCAAAACACTCATGAGGCTTCTGTTCTGATAGGAGATGGCGTCGGTGTCAGAGACACGAATATCAAAACACGCTCCTCCCTGTCTAACATAAACTCCACGACCAAACAAATCTGCAATTAATGCGGGTGTCTCATCTTGCGGGTTGTATTCTCTAATAACAGGCTCTCTCTGTACATCTTTCCACACTAAAGAAGCTAAGTCGCCTATGGCATCCCTAAACTCATTAAGCCGTAAAGTTAAGAGACCACCTTTTTTGCACGCTAACGCATGCCCTAGGATGAATGGTGACTGGCAACCATCACAAAAAGTTGGCGAAGCGATCAATTTTTGTTATACCGGACACTCAATGCATCCCGAAACTCCGGTTCCGAAAGATCAAAGTTTTCTGCAGCAATCGGTAACGCTGTCAGCCAGGCAGACAAGCTTCATTTATTGATTCTTTTTACTGCGCGAACTTTGTCTGCTGGTAGCTCATTCAATAACTCCCCCATCAACTCTTCACGTTTTTCTTCCATTATTCGATGATGTTTTTTTCCGCGATCGAGACATTTGCTTTCTGTGGTCTTCATGGGAAAAACCGTGCTGATCAACAATAGCATCATAAAGAACCGTAACTGCTTCTCGTGACGTGTTGTAAGACTCATCAGCGAAACTGGTTGGGTTAGACACTCCAAGACCACCCTTTCTTGCTGGCAAACAAAAAAGACGTCTCTCCATTGATGAAATCGACGAAGTTCCAAGTATCGCAGGTAAGAGTTTCTCCATCAGAAGGTTCTCTAGCGGTTGAAAAGCTGACTAGAACCACCCAAAACACAATCGGAAAAATTCCATTCCGCTTGTAGGGACTTAGTCAGTCCTGATAAAGCACATTGTGGTTCTGTCTTTTCCGCAAAAGAAAGTTTCTCAATTTTGTCTACCCATTCAAGTTCTTTCTTTTTCAGGTAGATGTCCTTCTCATTTCCGTCTCCAATGAAACCGCCCAAAAACCTCTTCTCTTCCACTATAGTAATCGAGTACTTGTCAAATATGTGATGCGCTTCTTCAGCATATTGTTTATCGACAACCAGAAAACTTTTGGAAGACTCTGGAAAGTAACCGAAGGCGGGACCTTCCTCAATCAAGTTTTTGAGCCATATCTCCAATTTCTTGAGTTTTGCTATGGCCGCAGAATCATCAGCATACCAACTTTGTAACACATTGTTCGGATCCTTTAATTTCCGAATTATGGGAAGAAGTGAAACACCATAGAAGAACATTGCCAGTGGGTCTCCCTGTGTGGTTTCTTCCCTATATATATATATCACTTCATCGGCGCCAGCAAC